TTTAATGCACATTTATTTTATTTCACGTCCTTATTTCATTTAATGCACATTTATTTTATTTCACGTCCTTATTTCATTTAATGCACATTTATTTTATTTCATGTCCTTATTTCATTTAATACAAGTGTGGTTTGGTTTGGTCTTTTAACCTCACCATCTCTGGCACCTTTCCATGACATAGTTAAAAAAAAAAGGAGAAATATAACCTAGAATTAAAGCCCTGGAAATCACATATCATCTCCTCTGCCCTAAGCAGAATCAGTTAAAATATAACCCCGAGACCAGTTATGAGTTTCCCCTTGCGATTCTCATTAACTGGGCCATTGGTTTCAATGGTTTTAAAAAAAACAGCAACACCAAAATAACCATGGAAATAAATTGCATTGATCCAGGATACAAGCAGAAGAAAGTGGAGGGGAAAAACTTTCTGCCCCAGGGCGACTAAGAAGTAAAACAGAAGAGTTTATGTTTCAGGTTCTTTTGGCTATTCTTCTTCTGAAGTTCTCCTTTTGTTCTGAGCGAGGCTTCCCAAGAGCATGAAGCAAACTCCTGGTCCCGACAAAAAAATTCATTTTCTGTGAATTCTGCTCATTCACACCCAGCAAAGTCTTTCGAGGGAGGATTTACGGTCACAGACCTTATCTGGCTTCGAGAGCTGCCAGGCCGATCTCTGCAAATCTTGGCCAGGAGTCTCACCAACCAATTAAGCGAACTAATTGTCTCCTGCAAACTCCACTCCCCCTTTGCTCCTCTTTTATTTCCCTTGGGAGGGGCCATTCACCGTCCACCTGTGGCCTTCCTCCCAAGACGACCCCTGTTCTTTAGCTCTTCCCTTCATCTGGCCACTCTGCATATGCGCACACTGGGAACAGGCTCCAGCTGTTCTTCTGCCTCACTGAGGTCTGGCTCCGAAGGCAGCTGATAACTGTCAGATGGCCCTGGCCCCCTCTCTGCCTCCGACATAGAACCCCTATCAGAGCCTTCCCCAGACTCCAGGACGGGCCCATGTTCCTCCCCAACCTCCTCGCTGTCTGACTCTGCTGCCAGCTCCACTGGCCACTGGTGGGCCACAAGTAGAGAAGGGCGTGCATAATTTCTTCCCATATTTTCCCTCTTAAACTTAATTTTTTTTAACACATAATATCATTATCTCCTCAGAGATAAACCAAATTTATCATTTCATTTTCCATCTGTTATTCTATTTTCTATAGGTAGCATGTGCCCTCAAATTCAACTTTTATATAATAAGCATTTTACTTAAATTACTTATCCACAATTAATAATGTTAATATCATTCCCTCACATCTTAATTAGCTAGATATCATTAACAGTATCAACATATTTCATTTTATTCTACCAATATATCCCTTCTCTTTCCTTTCCTCCTTTTCTAACCATTTTCTCTTAGTTCATTTCTTACTCTTTTTAATTTTCCACTTTTCATCAATTTTCTGGTTGTCCTTTTATCCCCTGTTCTTAGATTCTTTTTTCCCTTTTCTTTCTTTTCATATGTATTATATGTCTGAATCTTTTTCTATCACTTTTCGAGAGATGGTTTGAATAACCCTTCCCAAGTTATTTCTCTTGAAATGTTGAGCAGCTGGTTGGACTAGAAGACCTCCCAGGTCCCTTCCGACTCTGTTATTGTGTTATTAACATTGGGAGAAGCGTCTCGCCAGCTCCTCAGGTTTCCTCCCCTAAAGGAAATAGTGTGTATGACATCACTACTCTAGAATCTTTCCTTACGAGCCTTCTAAGTGGCCTCCAATCCAGAAAATTTCTCCAGGTCCGCAAGGAACACTCTACGGAATGTCTGATCCCAGGTTTTTGGATATCCCAGCTGTCATCTTCGACAACGGATCCGGATTGTGTAAGGCTGGCATTGCTGGAGATAGCGCTCCGAGGTCCGTCATCACAGCCATCGTGGGCCGCTCGAAAGCCAAAGCTACGATGCTCGGAGCAGGCCAGAAGGAATACTACATTGGGGAAGAGGCTCAGTGTAAACGGGGCGTTTTGTCCTTGAATTACCCCATCGATCACGGCATTGTGACCTCCTGGGACGACATGGAACGGATCTGGAGGCACGTCTACGATTGCGAATTGAGGCTCAAGTCCAGCGAGAGGCCCGTGTTGCTGACCGAAGCGCCTCTGAATCCCCTCCAGAACCGGGAGAGGATGACGCAGATCATGTTCGAGAACTTCAAGGTCCCCGCGATGTACGTGGCCGTCCAGGCTACCCTGGCGCTCTACGCCTCAGCACGAACCACCGGCATAGTCATGGACAGCGGAGATGGGGTCACCCACACAGTTCCTATCTACGAAGGGTACTGCTTGCCCCACGCGGTCTCCAGGTTGGACGTCGCGGGAAGGGACATCACTGAATACTTCATGAGGCTGCTTCTCGAGAGCGGGCATTCCTTCGTCAGCACAGCCGAAAGAGAAATTGTGAAGGACATCAAGGAGAAGTTGTGTTACGTAGCATTAGACCCCATCCAAGAAATGAAAACGAAGCCGGAGTATCTACTCCGAGAGTACAAATTACCTGACGGAAACGTCATCCAAATCGGGAGCCAACTCTTCCGAGCTCCTGAGGCCCTTTTCGCCCCCACCAACATTGGCATCGACGCGCCGGGTGTCCACCGAATGATCTTCAACAGCATCATGAAATGCGACATCGATGTCCGACGGGACCTATACGGCAACGTCCTCCTTTCGGGCGGATCGACGTTGTTCTGCGGGCTGGACGAGCGCATCTTGCAGGAGATGCAACTTCAGGTTCCTCTGGGGATATCGGTGAGGATCATCGCCCCTCCGGAAAGGAAGTATTGTGTGTGGATCGGGGCCTCCATATTGACTTGCTTAACGGCGTTCAGACAGATGTGGGTCACTTTGAACGATTACCAAGAATTTGGACCTGGCGTGGTGCACCGGAAATGTTTTTAGGGACAATCGTTTCCCTTCGTCGACGGGTTGGAACGGTGGAAGTTCAAATAATTAGAGGGACATAGAACGTTCGCGGATCACACATAATTCTTTGAACTTCCGTTGCGTCTATCCAAAGACAGATTTCTCATATGTCTGTATTTATATGTATATATGAAATCTGCCTTTGGATATGTTGACTGGATAGAATTTGCAGTAAATAAATGATGGAGTCATGGGCGCAAGGATCAGGGTGCGTTCTCTTCATTGACTTTCCTTCTTCAGAAGCACTATTTTTTCAGGGGTGGGATTCAGCTGGTTTAGACCGGTTTGGGTGAACCGGTAGTTCCGGCAAACAGTTGGCCCCATCTCCCTGCCCCTGCTCTATTCCATTCTATATTTCCTTTTTTTTTTTTTTGAAGCTCAGCGGATCGGCGCAGCAGGGCGGATTGCCGTGTCTCAGCTGTTTTACTCCCCAGGGCTGTAGGAAAAGGTCAATAGCAATAGCAATAGCAATAGCAGTTAGACTTATATACCGCTTCATAGGGCTTTCATCCCTCTCTAAGCAGTTTACAGAATCAGCATATTGCCCCCAA